CTTGGTGAATGTTTCAACTATATTTAAAACACAGCATGGGACAAAATGTCCCCAAATTGTCAGGGTGTCATTTTGACTTTTAAAAATAATAAAATGCAAGATTTTGGATTTACTTTGATTTTTAATTGCAGAAACAGAATTAATTCAAGCAAAGGCATACTGAAGTGGTAAAAAATCAAAATAAAGCAATCAAAGTTTGTGTAAATAGAATGTTTGGATTTGTACCATCTGTGATTTCAGGGAGAGAAAAGGAAGGGCAAGATCTCAGCCCATGGATTGGGATATTGTCTTCTACTCCCTTTTTGGAATGCTACTTTTTCCATAGAGCTCAGAACTGTTCATGGCACAGGGAAGCTATTTCTTGCCCAGACTGGAGCTGAATATATATCTCATTCCTGCCAGGGGTGCTTCTGTGGGCATTTTTAGCTGTAACAGAGAGTTCTGGCAGTGGATAGTACACTGTGCTACCCTGGAAAAAAAGAAAAAGAAAAAAAAAAAAAAAAGGAAAAAAAAAAGAACTCCTAACCATGAAGTCTGCAAATGCCAAAGAACCAGAGAACTTTAAGGGAATGACCTTGATCTTTTCATTTATAAGGTAACCATGAGGAAGTTGTGCAGCCTTTGGACAATATATCACATCCTTGCAAGACCACAGCAAAACAACCATTATGTGACATTTCATGGCATTTTATCATATGAAGTAACCAATGACATTGGAAAAAATCACCTGTCTGTATAGAGTTTCACTGTCATGTTATAGTTAGACCTGTTAAGGCTGACAAGAAGCACTAAATGAGATACCAGATTCTTCTACTTACTGTCTTTTATGTAACAATTTAACTTTACTTTATATGCATTATGAAAAGATTTACTCCAATGTAATAAATTAATAATTTACCAGCTTCCACATACAACTTATTTTAAAAAAGTCAATTCTACAGTAATATTTCAGTTAGCACCACTGTGTCCTTCCCTTCCCTTCCCTTCCCTTCCCTTCCCTTCCCTTCCCTTCCCTTCCCTTCCCTTCCCTTCCTTTTCCCTGACAGAATTATTTAACGGAGATCAAAAATTAAAAATAAATCAGTATTTTTCAGCTCCCAGGAAAGGCCCTAAAAACACCAGGTGCACTGTACTCAACATTTTAACTTCTGTAGTACATCTGAAGCACTTGTGCATCCATATTGTCACTGATTTCAATATATCTCTACCATTTACTTTTTTTTCCACAGTATCACTCCACTCTGTACCCCTATTTCATCGGCTGTCTTGTAGGTTTTTTTCCTGCTACTTTTGATTTATACCTGCTGGATCTATGAGCAATCCCTATAATGTAAGACGAGTCACGATTTAATCCCTGGTGAGTTAAAAATATTAAGGAATGAAAGGTGCTGAAGGTTTATTATGTCAAAAAGTGTATAATCACATTTCATCTTTTGATTTTTTTGCAAACCATGTCATTTTTCTTTGCCATTTATTACAGTATCTCAAAGGTTACCTACAATGGATTTCTTCAGTTTGCTGCTACCCTGCCGGAAAATACATTCCCTAGGGAAAAACTTGCTCTCGTTTCACAAAAGCAGAAGCAAGTGCAAAACAGAAATCAGTGAGAGGTGTTCATTCAGCTCTGCGCAGGGATTTGCATGACTTGCCATGTGATAGTTCAGCAGAACTTTCTATGCTGTCTGTGGCACTGTTTAAAAGCTATCACTTGCTTTCTGGGATTATGTACTTTCCTTTACAAAACAAGTAGTTCCCCAGAAAATAAAAAATACATGGAAGAGATAACAACAGCTTTGTACTGTATCATTTATTGGCTAGCTGTGTAATTTGGAATTGTCACTCTGTAAGAACTGAAAAAATGCTTCTTACAATCCAGTGTTTTATAAGCAATATTTTGGATTCACTATTTTCATTGTGCACCAGTAAATCTAGTACTTCTGTACTGAATTTCTTGGGCTTGAAATGGTACTGAGGAAAAGGCCCTTGGGGGACCTTAGGCTTTTTGCTTTGTAAGTAATTCAGTGAGCATGTTCTCATTTTCAGTGTCTGATGATAGATTCCATGGTGATTGTAACTAAACTGGCTACCACAGACAGGAGCAAAAAAGGAGCACTCACACCATCCCTCACTGTAACTCAGTGCTCACATGAGGTGCACTGCCAGCTGGTTTCCACAGGGGGTAACCTTGGGCAATCAGTGCTGCGAAGAACTGTTGGGGTGAGCTGACTTGAAATCAACTAAGGTCAGAAGTGAACATGTGGTCATAGTCTTTCCTGTGCTACAGGTTTTCAGTGCTGAGAAGGGCCCGAGTCCTGTAATACTGAGCCTGTGGTAGGTGCCAGGTGAGTCTACTACTCAGAAGGGGTAACAAGGTATCCAGGTAATCAGGTTCAGGTCCATACCAAAGAACTTGGCATATTGCTGCTAGTACGAGGGGCTGAGAACAGTCTAAATGATAAACAGGCCCCTGTTACAAAGGAGTTCTTGATCAGAAGCATACCGACCTCCATGACCTACACATTTTCCTTAGCTATATCAGTGTAGCTTTAGCTTTGCTATAGCCTGACTGCATTTCAAGGACGTAGGATGCACGATGTGCTCAGGAGGACTGAGCCTGGATGCGAGTGTCAAACCCATGTGTAGTGACAGGCTGTTACACAAATACTGATGGCCTTCTACAAAAGCTTCAGAGCTTGACATTCTCCAGACCCCTCCAGGTACAAACCCATGTTCATGCTCTGTCCCCAAGAGCTCTCATGGTCTCCATTTAGAGACAAGCACTGCTCTGAGCCTCTACCCACAGCAAACATGCAAGTCAGTGAAGCAAACTGCAGAGGGAAGGGCTCAAAAGTGAGCACAACTGATAAGGTCTGTGTACTCAAGGGACATATCAGATTCCCTGATATTTAATAGCTCCGTGAGTAAGATACTCAAGCAGCATGTGGATGAGACAGTTCAAACTCCTCTTCTGATTTGCACCAGTGATTTCACCTCAAGTCACTATCCCCAGGAGTCCTGCCCCAGCAGCCACACTATACGGAGTGTCTCTTAACAAAGCTTTTCGAGTCTATGAAAAACACTGTGTCTGCATTCGATGTCCACACCTGCATGTTTCTTACAGATGCATATTAAAGCTTTAAAAAAGTTTACTTACAAGACATAAGAAAACCTGCACTGGCATCTAATGCATTCTCAGGTGACTTCCTTTCCCTTTTTTATCTTTCAATGCAATACTGAGGCCATATTTAGCACTGAGTTTTGGATGAAAAGGCTGTTCCCTCCAGCCTAGAACTAAGTTTGAATTTCTTTTGAGGGCTTATCTTACTCCTTGACCTCTTGTGTCAGCTAGCTTAACCTCTGCTCAATGCTTTTGGCTTTTGTGCATCTAATCTCTAACGTACCCCACTCCTTTAGAGGGGTCGCTGGGGCTCACCTCATGAGGTGCAGGCTGCAGGGAAACAAGACAGGCCAGCCTTCCTATGAATCTAACCCTTCTGCATCACTTGTTTACAGCTGATTGCCACTTTAGCTGATTGCATAAAGGGAATGTCTGCAATGGAACATAATCAGTGTTGCAATAAATACCAATCAATTGCTTGTTTTTATTAAATGCCTTCTGTACACCTTTGTTCTCTTCATATTAACAAACATTGGACACCTCAGAAAAGCAAGTTAGCAACTGGTATGATTTTAAAATTGGAGCTACAAGAGGCTACAGGTACTTTTATTTTAGAACCACATGTTATCTGAATCTGTCTCTTGCTTAGACTACTCTGCACAACCTTTTGCCTGGATCTTTCCTCTGCCTCCTTTCATTTCTGTGGTTTCTTCCTGTGGCAAATTGCGTGCTGTTACAGTCTCCTCTCCTCAAACTCAGTGTGCTGTGGAGCAGCATACCCCTGCATCTTCTCCACGAACCTTGCTTTTGAAGATTGGATATGTATATTTTTATTTTTTACCACAGAGACGTCTGCTTTTGGGGCCTGAGATTTCACTGGAACATACTTCAGCAAAACTGGTGTGGCACTGTACAGCGAAGAAAGGATCCCTTATCTTTTGCAATTGTTAACATAGATGGCACTGAACCTATCAGGCAGATCCATGATTTTCTCTTCCTTTGCTGTCTGCTGCAACTTCCATTATTTACAAAGCTCCGTTTAAGACTGCAAACTAGACAGATGCCAGAATTCAATATAATGTAGGGACCACACGTTAAGCATCTGATAAGTGATTCATCCTTACAGCTCTTGTGCCATCACCCTGTGTGTCCATCCATCCTGTAATGGCTGAACTCCTCGGCTCGTCCCAGCCGAGAGAAGTTAAGAGGGGCTCACGGACGGCCAGTTTAGAGCAGATTATGGATGCATCCTGCAAGTGTGCCAAGCGATGCTGTTGCTCAAGCCCACACACGTGGAAGAGAAGCCCCAGAAAGCATCGGTTTCCATCGAGGCTCCGCTCGGAGTCAGGCGCTGTAGCAGCGCGGCTGTGCGCCCCGTGGCAGCGGGGCAGGTTAGGACCGGAGGGCTGCGCTCCGGTTGCCCCCGGCCGCCTATACCGTCCAAGGCCGAAACCGACGAAGCAGCGTTCGCACACCGCAGCTCCCAGCGCGGCCTTTCGAGGCGAGCTGCTGCTGGCTGCGGTTTGCGGCACCGCAGCCTTTCTGTTCAGGCTTTTAGCCGCTCCAGCGAACCCGCCCTGCGTGACAGAGCACCGCTCTTCGGTGCCTTCGGACGCCCCGGCCCGGAGCGCAGCGGCACAAAGAACAACACCCGCTCTGAGGGGAGCGCCGTGCAGCCGGCACAGCCTCGGGCCGGGCCGAGCAGATCAGAGTAGGGCAAGGCAGGGCACGGCAGGGCAGAGCAGAGCAGGGCAGGCCCGGCCACAACCGCCTCGGCCAATGGCCTGCGCGCGCCCGGCGGGCGGGAGCGCGAAGAGGGCGCGCGCGCGTTGCCAGGAGACCGGGGCGCGCGGAGGAGGGGGAGGGGGGTGACGTGGTGACGTTAATTCTATATGAGCGCGAGCGGCGGGAGCTCGGGTCTTTTTACCGCCAGCCGCGCGGCGCCTCCGCCTCGCTCCTGAGTCACCGCCGGTCCCGGCCCGCGCAGGTACCGCGTGGGGACGCGGGCGGGGGGGCGCGGGGAGGCCGAGGGCCCAGTTCCGCGCGGCGCGGTACGAGGCTCGCGGAGCGGGTTGGCCCCGCTCGGAGTGCTGCCCGCCGCCGCCCACGCCTAACGCGCGTGGCTCCGCGGCCCGCGGAGAGCCGGGCCGCGCGGCGGGAGGCGGGACCGCGGCAGCACGTGGGGCGGCGGGGCGCCGCGCGGGCCGGGGCCGGCCGGGAGGATGGAGGCCGGGAGGAAGGGAGGGAGGGAGGGAGGCAGGGCGGCGGGCGCACATGGCGGCGGCGGGAGCCGGGCCCCGCGGCGGGGCGGGGGCTGCCGGGCGGGAGCCGGGGCCGCTCCCGCCGCTCCCGCCGCTCGTCCGCGGGCCGAGTGTCCCTGCTGGCCGTGCCCTGGGACCGCCGCCTCGGCCCGGTGCACCCGGAGGTGTCGTCAGGCGGGTAGTGGCCGAGAGGCGAAGGAGCTGCCTTAGAGAGCTGGGAGCTACGGCTGAGCTGCGTTTCGCATTCATATCTATCTACCTGTGTGCCACGCGGGTCTGTCCTTGCGGGACGCTCGCAAGCGAGACTTTCAGCGTTTCAGCTTTTTTCCCGTACGGTGCCCAAAAGTGGGCACAGTCCCTCTGCACGCTGATACACCGATAACATGGCAGCATCTGCGCGGTTCGTCTCCAGGCACGCTGCAGTTCTGTGCGTGTCCATTTGGTGCTTGGAGCCCCGTGCGATGTGCCGGCGGTCCCTGCTCTGCCTTCCCTCGAGAAAGGTGAGAGTGGAATGGAGCTATGCGATGCACCGTGCGCCCACGGCTTGGGCTGGAGTTGGGTTTTGGCAGAGGGTACCGTATCGGTTGAACAAGGGCTAGCGCCTGATTTGTTTTCACCGCAGTCATGAAATAAAGCTTGAGAGAAGAGGGAAGGCTGGAGGCTGTGTACGGCTGTAGGTGTGTTCTGAGGGGCACATTAGCAGCTGTAACCTTCTTGGTGAACTCCTTAATGGATGAGAATGAGCTTGAATGGTATCCTTTCTCTTGTAAATCTTCTAATTATCCTAACTTTTAGGGCAAAATAAAATTTGGAGCCTACACACGCTGGAATTGGGTGATGTGCCTCTGCCGGGCAAAAACTTAGGACTGAAGGCTTTGGGCACATGGGAATGCTGTTACCAGTGCCTAGCACAGGCCCCAGCTGAAGCTGTGTTTGTGTGCCTTCAGTGCTGTGTGGGAGGTACCTAACAGCAGTCTCCCTTCCTGTACTGTGCACACTGTGTGCTTTGGCTTCTGGTGACTGGGGACTGTTTATCTGCGTATGCAGGAGGGCCTTGTGCGCGTCGCTTCTTAAAGCCCCCGATCCTTTTACATTTTCAGGGCAGCAAAGCGTTGGGACTGCTGCACACGTGCGGAAGTGCTGCGGTTGTGCCGTCAGCCTGGTGCTACAGGAAGCGCTAGCAGCCATGGGCTGGCTGTGCTGCTGCTCAGACTGGGGGCTCCTGGGAGCAGGCAGGGGAATTGTTATGGAGATCTGCTTAGCGAGCGCCCTGAAGTGGGTGGTCTGGTTTTTCTTGGCTCCTACCTCCCATTCTCATTGTCAGCTGTGCGCAAGTGAAACTGAAAGCAGAGCATGGTAGGGCATTTATTTACATTGTGAAGCTTTTTGTAAGAATTTCCACGACGCTGAGGGAGACCCAAGTCTTCCAGGCAGACACCATTTCCTTTAAAGTAACAACAGAGTTGCAGATCTTTAAGCAAACTTTGGCTTACTGTTCTGTCGGTAGTGTTGGCATAAATCATCCACTTAGCTCCCAGAAATTGAAGCACTTGTAACAGGGAGAATTTAATTCATTGTGACAGAGATTATATCCCTTCGGGGGAGTGAAATAGCTTGAGGGTTTGAGTTTCAGTAAGGGAAAATCTCAGGGGAAGTAAGACAAGTATCTTCTGTCTGCAATTTTTGATCAGAACCTTTGGTGAAAGCCAGTTTGTTCCAGTAGGCCAACAGGTATAATGAAGATGTCTATAGTATCTATTTGTTTTTGTTCTTGTGGCAGTAACCCAGTTCATCTTAAGAGTCCTTTTATCCAGCTGCAAAGATGGTGTGTCTCAAACAGAACTGTCAAAGGTCTGATTCTTCTTCGCAAAGCTTCAGGAGCTGGACAGGTTGCTGAAAATGGAGATGTAGGTGTTTTTTAAATACCTGTTTGTTTTTCTGTATTTGTAAAAACACTCAGTGTAACTTCAATGATGTTTTTTTCTTCCATGAATTAATACTGCTTTTGGATTTGTGGTATAGTAGGCACTCGTGTGGAAGATCCTACTTTGCAGCCGGAAACAAGACTCCTCAATGGTGACTGTGTTTCGCTGGAGCTCTGGGGTCTTCTGAGTTGGCTTCTGGCTGGGGACTGCCTTCTGTCTAGCTTCTCATTAGGAACCAGTTAGTAAGTAATAGAACAGAACTGTGTTCTACAGGAGGTGTTTAATCTGAGAAACAATTGCAGTGACTAATGTTTGTAGGTCAGTTTTTGTGAATTACTTTGAGCTCAGAAGTGATTATAATGTAGTTAATGTAATCTATCTGATCCTTGCTCCTCTCGGAGGTCAGTGCACTTCCTCACCACCTGACTTTGTTAATCTGGAGAGTAGGGTGGGTGCCTTGATGTATTTGTCTAGAAAACCAGATGTGCCCAGAAGGTGTCACAGAAGTTGTTAGGTGATTCATTTGAAGACCTTCTGAATAATCAACTGTTTAAAAATAATGCAGGAAGTTCGTAACAGGATAGAATCATGAATATTTGTCTTTTCTGAATATGCAGTAAGATGTGTTTCAGTCCACTGCTATGTTCTAGATAGCCTTTAATACTAGGTGTGTAGAAATAGTGGTGGTTTTTCTGTGCTTCTTGGGGGATGAGTTGTCCTTAAGGGAAAGCTTCCTTTTACTTGTGCCTCTAGTTTGAAAAGCTGGCTTAAGCATTGAGAGATTAAGTTTGGAGGTGGGAGTGGAGGAAGAAAAACCCTGTCAAGAAGAAAAGAAAAATGAACCAAACAAACAACAAAAAAAACCAAACAAACACAGAAAGCCACCAAAGGCATACCCACAATACTTATTTACACCCAAAACAGTTTTCAGTCTGTTTGCTTTTACTTCCATGTGTATTTTTATGTCACTTCTCATTGCTCACCTGTGAAATGCTATTAATGTCAGATTCAAACTATTTCTTTTTTTCAGATGTTCATGTTGCTAGGCCTTGAATCTCTGACACAGTGTTCAGCAGCAAATACAGTATTTTTATGAAGGATGTATTACTGAAACTCTAACGATCGTGGTTTTTATTGTTTCTGTCACCAGGCATCCAATTCAGATCTTGCCTGCTTTTGCATGTTGAATAGAAGTCTTTAGTGGGCTGCATGCCATTATACTTGCATCTTTGCAGACCAATTTCTCAGCCTTTTGAATAGTAGAATTGTTTGAATTGCTTCTAATACATGGTACTTTAGATTTTAGTACTATTTCTTTTAACTAGCTTACATTGCCTTTTTAAACAGTTCATAATTCTATGATATTCTGCTTCTGGAAATTACTGATCTCAATTTTGGATGTGAAATATGTGCCAGTCAAAGCACTTCTGTTCCACGCATGTGCTAAGCAGTGCCATCAGGAATGTGCTTGCCTTTGTTGAACTGGTGAGACCTTCATGACTTGGCCTCTTGACTATTTTATCGCCTTCTTTGCTGTTATGAGTTGGTTGGGTTCTGCTGCTGCTGCCAAGATCACAGTTGAGTGAAATTCAGAAGAAAATGCTTTTGAAAAGTTTGTAAAATTTGTTCATGGAGAATCTGGCTGCCCATGGTTTGGATGGGCATACACTCAGCTGGGTGAAGCACTGGCTGGATGGCTGGGCCCAAAGAGTTGTGGTCAGTGGAGTTAAATCCAGTTGGCTGCTGGTCACGAGCGGTGTCCCCCAGGGCTCGGTACTGGGGCCACTTCCATTGAATATCTTTATTAAAGATCTTGATGAGGGGATTGAGTGCAAGCTCAGTAAGTTTGCAGGCGACACCACATTGGGAGGGAGTGTTTATCTACCCGAGGGAAGAAGGGCACTGTAGAGGGACCTGGACAGACTGGATCGATGGGCCAAGGCAAACTGTATGAGTTTCAGTGGGGCCAACTGTTGGGTCCTGCATTTTGGCCACAACAACCCCAGGTAACCCTACAGGCTTTAGGGGAGGAGTGTCTGGAAAGCTGCCTGATGGAAAGGGACCTTGGTGTACTGATGGATGGTTGGCTGAACACGGGCCAGCAGTGTGACCAGGTGGCCAAGAAGGCCAATGGCATCCTGGCTTGTATCAGGAGTGGTGTGGTGAGCAGGACTAGGGAAGTCATCCTGCCCCTGTACTCGGCACTGGTGAGGCCTCACTTCGAGTATTGTGTTCAGTTTTGGGCATCTCAGTACAGAAAGAACATTGAGGTGCTGGAGCAGGTCAAGGAAAAGGGCGACAAGGCTTGTGAAGGGCTTGGAGAATGTGCCCTATGAGGAGAGACTGAAGGAACTGGGGCTGTTCAGTCTGGGGCAGATGAGGCTGAGGGGAGACATTATTGCTCTCTTCCAGTATCTGAAAGGTGCTTACAGCGAGAGCGGGGTTCTTTGAAAACTGATTGTTTGGGGGGGGGTTTGCAGTGTAGCAATGGATTCATTTCTGTGGGGAAAAAAAAAAATGGAACCAGAGGTAGCAAGAAAGTTGCTAAATATATTTTATGAATTCCAATGACTCCAATACAGTGAGTGAATGAATTTCCTACACTGCATTCATCAGATGTTCCAGCAAAAAAACAACAATGAAACCGTAAGGAAGTAGTTCCTTTTTAACTTCTTGGATGAGGTTGGAAAAACATGTGTTCTAAATCAAATTTGTTAAAAACACTAATGTTGTGGTGCAGAGTCTTGCAGATAGCGTAGCTGCCAATATGGTTGTGTTTGATTATGTTGCAGTCTCAGTAG